CACACACACACACACACACACAAACATACACACACACACACACGCACATAATATATGTACACACGTATACACACATACACTCAGACAGACAAACAGACAGACACACACGCACACATACACATACATACACATACACACACACATACAAACATGCACACAGACAGACAAACAGACAGAAACACACACATACACACACACACACACACACACACACACACACACATATACACACACATCCACATACACACACATACACACATACACACACATACACCTACCCACATACACACTCAGCCATACCCCCGAGATAAGGAGATAATGCATTAATAATTATTCTGGCTAAGATTTTCTATATTTTTGCTTCTCCGTAGAAAATGCCTTTCCATGGAAATCTCCACCTCACTGGAGGGATGAGTGCAGTAGAAGTCTGCTTCAGGGGGCGCTTGAACAATTTAACGACCGATCCGAGTAAAGTGTGAGTTTTTACGTCACTATTCATCTTTATCAATGCCTTTCACCCTGGCAGGGTATAGGCCACATACAACTCCTTTCATTTATCTCCGTCCTGGGACGTCCTTCCAAGCTCGTTCCAAGTGAGCTTCGTCTCTCTCATGTCCCTTTCCACACACCTCCTCCATGTTTCCCCTGGCCTACCCCTGCCTCGTGCTCCCTGTTGGTTCCGCTACAGCGACTACCTTGTCATGTTTCCCCTGGGCTTTCTGGGGATGCGTTTCATCCATCGCCACTTTCTTAGTCCTATTTCTACTTCTATATACTTCAGTCCTGTCCTTTCCCACAGCACGTCACTATTACTCTAGGATTAGTTTCTTGATTATATTTCAACGGCAATCATTGGCCTAGTGGTTAGGCTACCGGGCTCGTAATCGTGAAGTTGCGGGTTCGGGGGTTCGAGCCATGGGCCCGACGTTGTGTCCTTGGGAAAGGCACTTTACACAATTATTTTCCTGACTTCAGCCAAGTGGAAATGGGTCCCCAGAAATAGAGAGCTAAAGATCTTGTCAGTATGTTAGTGTTTAAGCGCCTATGAATTGCTGATTTCACTACATGCTTCCCAGGGAGTTGAGGTTGTTTCAGAATGCTCTCAAGTCTGCTGGGATAATATTAATAGTATAGATTGTGAAGCGCATAGAGCTTGCTGTTGAGCGGAGATTTTGCGCTGTACGAATGCTATCTATTATTATCTATTATTAATGTGCAACGTGACCGTGAAGGATGGAGGGTCATTACACGTTAACCTCTGAGTCAGAGATGACACCTCCAGGAATCCAGGTATTGTATTTCAGGAAGAATCAGACGTTTTCTAGGACGCTCCC